GAGGAGGAGGAGGAGGAGGAGGAGGAGGAGGAGGAGGAGGAGGAGAAAGAAGAAGAATGGTATCTCATATATATTCCTTGTGTTCTCTTCTGTCCTCAAGGTGTTGGATGGCTCTCCCATTGAAGTCACCTTAGCAAAGCCAGTTGACAAAGACAGTTATGTTAGATACACCAGAGGTACAGGAGGACGAGGAGCAGCGTTGCCAGAATTTACTTACACCTTTGGCCATGTCTACGATCCTGCCACAGCTTACCTAGGAGCTCCAGTTTTCTATGCACCACAAGCCTATGCTGCCATTCCTGGCCTTCATTTCCCTGCTGCTAAAGGCCATCTCACCAACAGAGGCATTATTAGACCTTCGACCATTAGAGGTAATTCTATTGAGCAATGCGGAATATATCAATGTTCTTACTTGGTTGGACTGTCCTTTATTATTATTTTTCTTTTGGACAGGTCTCTTCTGATATGGAATGGGTCACTTTAATAAATACCCATGTTCTCTTACCCATTTTAATTAAAGATCTTTAATGAAACCTGCATTACTCTTCAAAGTAAAATTAGCCCAACTCATTGACTTGTATGAGAATGAAATATACAACCAAAAGAATCTTAGGTGATGTGATTATGACTTTTCTCAAATCTAGTATATTTAAACTATATTAGAATATAGCTCCCAAATTTCTAGTCAATATGCCAATGTCAAATGGCTGTTATAAAAGGTTGTAGTTCAGTATATTTGAAAGGCACAATGGCACAAATTATAGAGAGAAGGCTAAAATGTGTGGTTGAAATTTAATTTAAAAAGCTTATTTCAGTCAACATTCAGAGTATAAGTTAACTTGTTTGCAGAGATATTGAATGAAAATCTGGTCCATGAAGAATTCATAACAGAATTCTTTTGCAACTCTACAAGCAAGCAGTATTGAGCAAGAGCATTTAGGCCCTTTTCATTACTCTCTGGAAATAATGTTGAAGCATTATTTGCATATTGACCCCAGCACTCTGAATCCCCATTTTGCTGACCTCAGAGGAATAGAAGAGTGAATCAACCTTGAGCCACATCAGGATTGAACTTCAGGTTGTGGGCAGAGTTTGCCTGCAATACTGCATTTTAACCACTGCCCCTCCAGGGCTCCTTCTTAGATTTGGGACATTTGATAGAGCATGAAGCTTTGTTTAAATAAAGGAATGGAACAGACTGTTCAGTTTTGAACTAGAGATTCTCAGTAGCTCAGTAGTTTTATAGTTCAGTAGTTTTGAACTACTGATTTGCCTTTGAAGGAAACCTTGAGGAACTAAAAAAATGCCCATAGTTTGAAACCAACTATGCCTATAGTTGGTTTCACAAGTGCAGCATTCAAATGTGGTAGTTTTCAGCAGACACGTCTCTTTCTGCAAACTAATAAATTCAGCAAGGAAATATCAAAAGTGATATGCGTGTGTGAACCATCCTAAATGTTTAGAGAAATGAGCTAATTCCAATGTGTGATTGGGATGAGTTATATCGTGTCAAAATTACACACTAAAACTGAAAAGCTTAATCTTAAACCTCTAAAAAAAAATCAGTCTGTATAGCAATTGTGGCTTTGGAGCCCCTACTCTTTACCTATAAATGATAATCCTCTTAGAATTGGCATCAAAAATTGAATTAGAATTGAAAATAATAACTGCAGAGAAAAAAGGAGATAAGAAAGTGATTTTGTGCAAGATATTCAGTCAGTGAGTCTTGAGGCATTTAATGAAATGGAAACTGGGAAGGCCCGTGTTACATGAATAATGACATAATTAGAATGCAGTGTAGAAAATGTACAATGTATAAAATAATATTTTGATTGATCCTTGCAGCAGATTGCAATTCCCACGTTCAGTGTTTTGTGTGTGTGTGTGTGTGTGTGTGTGTGAGAGAGAGAGAGAGAGAGAGAGAGAGAGAGAGAGATGTTTAAGTAGAAACCTAGAAAACCCAATATCTGTGAGGTGAACTTACAAATACTAAAAATAATTAGAAGCTCACAGGATACCTCCCAGATCACAATAAAATCTTATTTGTAGCTGTGCACATAGCTGAGAATTATCACTCTTCATTTCAAAGGCAATAAACAGAGGTTGTGCCTTGGGTACTGCTACTGCTTCCCAAGGAAGTATATTCTATTAACATAGCTAAAGAAATGTTAATGTCAGGAGTTGAAACTCTCAGTGTTGTAGTAGATGAAGAAACTAATGTAATACCTATTTGTTTGGAACTAAAACTCTGCTGTGTTCTGCAGAATTTTGCTCTCTTGAAGTATGCATCAGATTGTATCTCAATTGTGTCAACTTTAAGATGGATGGATTTCAACTCTCATAATTCCCTTGGAGAATTCTGGGACTTGAAGTCCACACATGTTAAAGTTGGCATGATAGAGAAACACTGGTCTACAGAGCTGAAGAAGCTTCTTGGATGAGAAGTGAAATGTCCTCAAGGAAAAAACAAAGAAAGTCCAGTTGCCTCTTCAAAAAAGCACCTTTGGGACAACCATGACCTGGATGACTGAGAATCTCCATTGACACTGGTCTAAATAGTTTATAGATCTAATATCTAATGTTGCAGATTCTTCCCCTTACCTCTTTGAGACTCAGTAAAAGGTGACCCATAGGGGTGGGATTCTAACGGTTCAGACCAGTACTATAGAACCGGTTGTTATGATTCTGCGCAGTTCGGAGAACCGGCAAATTGTGCCCCTGGCTGGCCCCGCCCTTCTCCACCCGTCCCTCCCCTCCCTGCCCAGTCAGTCCTAAATGACATCACTGACTGCATCCTCCCCCACCCAGTCGCTCCTTAAGGTATTTCCCCCCTTCCAACGATCAGCTGTTCCAATGATCAGCTGTGTTGGGATGCCCCTTGCTGACTTACTGCTTTACCCAGAAGGCTTCCCTGAGGCCCAGGAGGCAAAAAGGGGCAGGGGGGTGCTGCTCCCCCCACGCTCCATTTTTTTTTGCCTTCCTGGGCCCCAGGGAAGCCTTTTGGGAGCAAAAATGCCCCCCAGGAGGCTTCCCTGAGACCCAGGAGGCAAAAAAACATGGGGGGTGTTGCTGCAAAAAAAGAAGCCACTCCCACTCAGTCACATGGCCACGCCCACCTAGCCACACCCATCTAGCCATGCCCACAGAACCGGTTGTTACCAAATTTGAATCCCACCCCTGGTGACCCACTTTTTATTCTCACATCAAAACTCCACTTTAAGCCTGTGTGTGCAATCAAGCCTTCCCATACTGTAAGAATCAGGAAGCTTTTCCTGTGATTTGATTCAGTTCAATGCCTTCTTACATTCCTAGAAATTTACATGAATGTACCTGTAGGGGCTGCTGGAATTAGAGGAGTAGGAGGTCGAGGCTACTTGGCTAACCCTGCCCTGGGTCGCGGATACCAGCTTAAAGGAGAAAAAAGAGGGGAGGACAAACTCTACGATCTTTTGCCTGGAATGGAGCTTACGCCAATTAACCACGTCAGTTTAAAGCCACAAGGAATTAAACTTGCTCCACAGGTGGGTAAAACAGATCTAAAGGAAACATTTCAGCTCTTGATTACTGCCTTCCCTGTTTCTATAATAAATCTTTGCAGACTGGACATTTGTTGTTGTTGTTGTTGTTTATTCTGTTTGGTTTCACTACACACAGTTTTGACATGAAACAGCATTCCTACAGTAGTAATATCTTTTCACAGCTCCTTTCACGAACTGGTGGCACAATGAGATTATGCTGGATTTACTGTCGTATTATAGGAAGTCATCTGTGAAAACGCATCGTTTTCTGTACACACAATGCCATGTCGTTAGCTGAGAACCCAAATAACTTGCAGGAAATTATAGTTTGTACAGATCTGAAAACTCTTTACCAAAAGTCAAGGTATTTGTGCTTGGCAGAGAAAATGGAGCAAATGTTTATAAGGTTTTTGTTTCATTTTGTTCATTGAATCGATTTTGAATCCAAGTGAATTTATGGAACAGTCCATGCACTTTTCTTGCCAAGATTGCAATGGTGGCTTTGCTACTGAGTTGCCTTTTTCCAAATTGCTTTCTGATTTCCCAGTTTAATGTTGAAACAGAGTGATTGGCCTAGGTCATCCTGTTGGTTTCCATGCCTTATGGAAACATTGGAACTGGAGTCTTTCTCCCCCAATCCAGCATCTTAACCGCAACAGTCTAGCTCTTAAGATTAAGCAAGTGTCTTTAACGCAAATGATGTGTTTTAATTGTATTTTTAAAATGTGTTTATTGTAAGCCACCTACAGTCACTTTACTATGAGATGGGCAACTATATAAATATGATATATTAAATAAAATAGGCAAAGTTGTGTATCTTGATAGAATATTTTATTAAAGATGAGAAAATGGATGGAGGATTGATAGGCTGCAGATAGTATGTAGCCTTCTGTATGTAAGGAATGCTTATACAGCTAGGAATAAAAGAATGCTTCTACCCCCTTTGTTATATGGAAGTGAATCTTGAGTGTATCAGGAGAAATGAGATGGGAATAGGATCTTAGGAAACATATGTGATAAAACAAAATGAGGTCCCAAATGAATGGGAGCTAAATGAAAGTACACGGAATACAGAAGAGAATAATCAATACAAGAGAAGTAGGTTGAAATAGTCTGGACCAGAAAATGATTGAGGCTTGAATTTCCAAGCAAATATATGGAGGAATCATAATTTATTAGAGCTGGAAAGCAATGTATGAATCAATGTATGGATGAGATGGAAGAAGAGTAGCTTGCATCTCAACATATAGTCATGCTGGCCACATGGATCATGGTAAGGTCCTTGGACAATGCTGGCTCCCTCAGCTAAGAAATGGAGATCAGCACCATTCCTTAGAGTTGGATGAAACTGGACAGGGAAAATCTTTACCTTTACCATTATCTCCTGCCTGGCATGTCTATGGCTCAGTACTTCTGTGATTTGCATGCTGTCACTCTGTAAGTGATGATTATACATGTATAGAAATATCATTAGATTCATTTTATCATTATAGATATTAGAAGAAATCTGCCAGAAGAATAACTGGGGACAACCTGTTTATCAACTTTATTCTGCCGTTGGACAGAACCAAAGACAACTCTTCTTATATAAAATCACTATACCTGCCCTTGTCACTCAAAATCCTACAATGTAAGTAGCCACGGGGCTTCACTGGGGTTGAGGGGCCTTTCTAAGTAAGCCATTACAATACCTGGATAATTTGAAATTGCAGAAGAATTAGAAGGATGTGGGAGAGCAGCTACAGCATCCTCTATATTGAAATTCCATGAAAAAAAACCCCAAAGATTTAAGATGTTTAGGTTTCAAAATAAATAAAAATTAATTTTGGCACGTTGAGGCACATACATGCATCTACAATATTGTATGTATGTGTACAAACATACATATAGTCTTGGACGAGAATATAAATGACATTTAAACATAAACCAGAGAGGGTGTGCCTTTTAATAGCCCAACCAGCATGGCCAAAGATGAACGATTCTGGGTCCTACATCTCACCAATATCTGGAGGTCCATATGTTCTTCATAAAATCTAAAACCTACACAGCCAGATGGCTTCTCAATGAGCCAAGAATCCTACCATGCTAAATTAATTCTTAACAGTTTGATATCTGTGCCTTGTAGCCAGATAAAGTGAGGCATATGGATTCTCCAAGGCTATTGATTTAGAAATAATGGCTTAGTCTAAGACTCCTGTCTGAATGGGAAAGTTTTCTCATCATTGTTGGGATTCTGGCACATAATCTTATATTGTATCTAATTTTACTGTTCAGTGCAATTCCTAATCCCACTAAATGCTACTTTTATGATTAAAATACCATACAATGAACTCTACAAGCAGATGCAGAAGCCACAGAGGATGAAAAATAAGCTCTGACATACTATCCCATTCCCACTAACTCTTTTCTCTGGTGAAATTAAGGATTAACAAAAAGCCACAACAAAAAGGCTTTGAAAGCAGCAAACACTGAGAAGAGAAACACTTACTAGAAGTGCCAGTGTTGACTCAAAATCCAATCTTCCTTTCCTTAGTGACATTCCAAAAGTGTACATAAAAATATACAAGATTATATTTACATTTTATGGTGAAATAATTTACAAGTTGATATCTGTATCACTTATTTTGCTCGTACGATTGATTAATATAGGATTATATTAAACTAGCTCTATACCCTTGCTTCACTACGAAATTATGTGAGTGGGCTTAGTTTTGGGGGAGGAAAATAAAGGAGGGGGAGCATCCATCGGTATTTATCTGGTTTGCATCCTGTCAGTGTGTGAGAGAGCTCAGTGCTGTTTGGAAACTGAAACAATATTTGCTGTGTGAGCAAGAAGGAGACAGCAAGGAGCCTGGCCGTGGCTTCACTGAACTGTTCTGTACTAAAACTGGTTGCTGCTGTGAAACTAAAACTGAAACTCCTCTCCTCTGCTTGTGTTTTGCATTTGGAATAGATTTCTTTTCAGGTGGGGAGGGGAAGTAGAACTCCTTAGCATCAGAGCGTGTTAATAATAATATAGGAAATACTAATGCTCTGATGGTCATTTCAAAAAATCCTTTCTTAGTGAGTATCTAGAAGCCAAGAGGAACATACGTGCCAAATTTCAAGTTTGTAGGCTTTACAGTTCTGGAGATTTTGTGATGATGCGTGAGTGGTATTTCGCTTTTATATATATATAGATTACATTTACATTTCATGATGAAATAATTTACAAATTGATATCTCTATCACTTCTTTTGCTGGTACAGTTGATTAATATAGGATTATACTGAACTATTAAATTATTTTACAGGCATCCCTTCACGCCACCAAAGCTAAGTGCATATGTAGATGAAGCTAAAACATATGCAGCAGAACATACTCTTCAGACACTGGGGATTTCCACTGAAGGAGCAGAAAACTCTGCCACTAATGTACCATTTCCTGGTATGTAATGGTTGTATTATGCATCGGACTAACTTAAATGAAACTAACACAGTTTAGCAAAGAAGCCTCTGCATAAAATCCACTGAAACTCTGGTGACTCCTGAATATTACAGCATGGTGGGGCATGAAGAAAGGAATTGATGCTAAAGTTTCTTTTTGTGACATGTAACAATCCAAACATTTCCCCTTCAGGATAACTAAATGTGATCCTATAAATTGTTTATTCATCAGAAAATTCAAAGGAATTTGCTTTTAGAAGAATGGGTACAAGTTTGCAGTCAGAATACGTATTTAAAGGTAGCAAAATCACAGTCACATTGAATTCTTGCACCTTTGCAAATCTTTAGCTGCTTCTCATTACGATAGTTCAGTTTTTTTTAAAAAATGTTTCTTTTGCCAATTAACAGCTTAGCCACACTGCTGCGTACTTAGCTACAAATAGAAGTAACTGCACATAATCAAAATAAGTCTTGACGGGGGAAATGTATACAACTTCTCTGAAATACAGAGCTTGAATTAACAGTTTTGGTTTATTCCAGTAAATGGCCTTTTTGCTATTACACATAATTTTTTTTCTTTACATTTTGGCAACCAGTGGCAATAACACCTACAAAGTGTGGGAGTGTTTTTTTGGTGGGTGGGGGGTTGAATCGATTGACTCATTCTCCAGTTTTGCAAGTCACCATTACACATCACAAATAAGAATGAGTGCTGATATGCAAACAACGGGTTTCAGTGTTGGGGTATTATTTTTTTCAGAGTGAATTCCTTACCCTGCTTCGGTGATTTCAATGAAGCCTGAGAAATATAACAGAGGAACATGGATAAACGCAAAGCTTTGAGTCATTTCCAATTTTGAACAATTACTGGAAAGCTAGCTAGGACTTGGAGGAGGGAGGAATCTTATTTCAAAATATGAAATACCCAGCAGTCCCCTACAGCAGTGGCCTCCAACCTTTTGGGCACCAGGGACTGGCTTCATGGAGAAAGTTTTTTTCTGCGGACTGGAGGGGGCATGGCACTGTATGCTGCCTGCATTCCATGGATGGGGCTTCATTTGTTTGTGTGGCTCAGTTGCTGACATGCCACAGACCGGTGTTAGTCCATGGACCAGGGATTGAGGACTTCTACAGCCATAGACATACAAAGATACATACATACATTAATCAGGGCAAAATGATAGTTCTAATCAGTAGTGGGAGTCAAAAACATTTACTATAGGTTCTGTGGGCGTGGCTTGGTGGTTGTAGTCTGGCTTGGTGGGCGTGGCTTGGTGGGTGTGGCAGGGGAAGGATACTGTAAAATCTCCATTCCACTAACCTGCTTTCCAGCTCTGTTCCCCTGTGCAGGCAGGGGTGGGACGCTATCGGTTCTGCCCGGTTCTAAAGAACCAGTAGCTCTGAAGATCAGCAGACACCAAACCAGTTCAGTGTCTGCTGTTTTTTGGCCCACCCGCCCGCCCAGGCTCTTACCTGTCCTTTATTTCCTGCTTTTTCAACCTCAGCTGCTTTGCGCGGCACAGCTGAGGTTGAAAAAGCAGGAAAAAAAGAGGCTTTTCAACCCACACGCAGTGCTTTTCACCTGTCCGGGTGGCACAGATGATTTTTTTTTTACACACGTGCGCAGCAAAACGTAGTCACTGAACCGGTAGTAACACTGGTTGAATCCCACGCCTGTGTGCAGGGCAACAAAAGAAGGCCCAGCCAATCAGCTGGGACTCAGGAGGCAGAGAATAGATGGGGGCGGGGCCAGTCAGAGGCGGTATTTGCCAGTTCTCCGAACTGCTCAAAATTTCCGCTACCGGTTCTCCAGAACTGGTTCTAATGCTAATATATAACTACAGGTAGTTCTCGACTTACAATCACAATTGAGCCCAACATTTCTGTGGCTAAGCAAGACAGTTGTTCAGTGAGTTTTGCTCCATTTTACAACTTTCCTTGCCACAGCTGTTAAGTGAATCCCTGCCGTTGTTAAAGTTAGTGATATGGTTGTGAAGTGAATTTGGCTTTCCCGTTGACTTTGCTAGTCAGAAGGTGGTAAAAGGGGATTGTGTGACTCCAGGACACTGCAACGGTCATGAATATGAGTCAGTTGCCAAGCATCTGAATTTTGGTTGCATGACTATGGGAGTACTGCAAAAGTTGCAAGTGTGAAAAATGGTCGTAAATCACTTTTTTTCAGTGCCGTTGTAACTTCAAACAGTCACTAAATGAACTTTTGTAAGTCGGGGACTACCTGTAATCCTCAGATGGTTATTGAGCAGTAGTATGGGGAGGCAGGGAAGGTGGAAAGCCAAGATGACAGCTTTCATCAAAGAGTCAAGGCTGCCATCATTATTTTTTAAACCCTCCCAGATGTTGGGATCTGGTCCTTTATGTTACTTTCTAAAAGGCCTGGAACGATTTGATGGGTAAGAGGCATGCAGAGAAAATTATTGTACAGTTAAAGTTACCTTGCAGTTATGTTGACTATGATAAAGAATACAAGGTAATGTAGAAAGCCAATTGCTAAATTCATTATTATTTATTTTGTACCTATTTATACTATTTAATACATACGTGCACTTAATGAGAACCAAAAAAGGGACACAGTGGCTTAGTGGCCAAGACGCTGAGCTTGCTGATCAGAAAGGTCGGCAGTTTGATGGTTCGAATCCCTAGCATTGCATAATAGAGTGAGCTCCCGTTACTTGTCCCAGCTTCTGCCAACCTAGCAGTTCAAAAGCATGTTAAAAATGCAAGTAGAAAAATAAGGGCCACTTTGGTGGGAAGGTAACAGCGTTCTGTGTGCCTTTGGCATTTAGTCATGCTGGCCACATGACCATGGAGACGTCTTCGGACAGCACTAGCTCTTCAGTTTTGTAATGGAGATGAGCATTGCCCCCTAGAGCCAGAAACGACTAGCACATATGTGCGAGAGGAACCTTTACCTTTACCTTTAATAAGAACCAAAACTTTCTGGATTTTACTTATATACAGTATATCTTTCACATTAAATCTCTCTCTCTCTCTCTCTCTCTCTCTCTCTCTCTCTCTCTCTCTTTCTTTTTTACATTACTGGAAACACAGTATACATACCAGTCAGTTCTTTTGATTAATACCTGCAAGGAATCATTCAGAAGCATCAGGGCTTTTTAAAAAATTTAAAATCCATCCCATTTCCTGCCACAAAGAAAAATCAATTTGTCTAGCTTATTCGAGCTTCCGCATTATGTAAGATACACTGATGTTTTATTGAACTCAGCACCATTTACTGCTTAATTACAATGACCTTCCACTGTCATTGTTCATTTAGTTGGAAAGCTTTGAAACATTTTATCCTTTCAATCCAGGTGAACCTTATAGTCCAATAAAAATGGTATCCGTTAGGCTCATCAAAGCCGATATAAAATGCATCATTATGAACTACCTCACTCTCTCCAGCTGCCCTTGAATAGGAGAGAGTCTAGGCAAAAATAAAAGATATTTGTAGAAGGGAAAGACATGTAACAGAATAACGGAAAAACAGAGTTGGAAAGATCTTAGAAGTCTTCTAGTCCAGGGGTCTCCAACCTTGGCAACTTTAAGACTTGTGGACTTCAACTCCCAGAATTCCTCAGC